CCGGCTCCGAGAACGACCACCCCGCGGGGGGCGCAGGACGCCCGCCCCTTCCTTCCCTTTTGAGCTGTCCGATTCTTCAGGCGCGCAAGAGCCCGCCTGGCCACTTGCGCGGCATTTTAGTTGCCCCGCATCGCCGTGCAAATTCCGACCTCGAACCCCACGCCAGAACGTCTCCTTTGAGAACCTTAGTGACCCAGGCAGCGGTCGGCCCTGCAACCTCCGGGCGACTCCACTTCAGACGGGCTCTGCGGGGAGCTGGAAGGAGGGCCACGTGGCTTGGAGCGCCTGCGGAATGCCAGGGAGGGGCCAGCCCCCATTTTACAGATGAGGAAGCTGAGGCGCAGAGGATTGGTTTGACTTACTAACCCCCTAGTAAGCCGGGGCAGAGATCAGTGCAGAGCCACGTCTGAATTCTCTCCATGGGTACTCAGGCACATGCACAGAGCCCAGGACCCTGGGTGACCGACCCCAAGACGCCTCTGAGCCAGGCTGAACTGCGAGTAGCTGGGCCGTCCTTGTGGTTTACCTGTTGGGTTTCCCACAGCAGGGACTCTGCCTGACTTTGGCAGCCCTGAATTATCAGTAGAAAAACACAGGCTTTGTAGGAAGTCTGGATGTGGGTTTGAGTCCTGGCTGTTACCTGGATGGCCTTGGACAGGTCACTAGCGCTCTCTGAGTCTTGTTTCCCAGAAAAGAAAATGGGGTCACAAACTCAGATGGCTCCCCCCCCCGGGAGTGTGGTGCCAAGACCAAGGAGAGTGAGCGTGTGAGGAGCTTTGTAAACGTTCTCACTGGTCACTTTGCTCCTTGGGAACAAGCTGGGCACTGCTCCTGGGCATAAAGGCAGCCCTGTGCCTGACACGATCGATCTGGCTTTTGGCAGCCACGTGCAGGTGTGAACCTTGGTCACACTCTTCTACATCCCTAGCCCATGACGTGTTTGGACTTGGACCAAAGTCTGGGACAGCTCCCTGATTACTAGGGCACTAGAAGTGTGACGGTGCCAGTCGGCCGCCGGTGTCCTTAGCAGATGGTGTTGTGACCCACTCTTGTAGGTGCTGCTGCTGCCTCCGCTGTGCTCAGACCCAGGTGCCTCCTCTGGCAGCTCCGTGCAAAGGTGTGAACTCAGCTTGCTTCAGAGCCTGCCCACCATGGTGAGTCGTGGAGGGTCAGGGGAAGGGAAGGACACCATGTTCTTAAAGCAGGACCCAAGTCTTGAGCATACTGGAGTTCCTTACACCTGACCGAGAGATGCTACTGTCTCCTGGGGCTCATTCTCTCTTGGGGACTGATCCCTGCCTCCCTCCATTTCCTGGAAGCCACTATCCCAGCCACACATTGGGCTGCAGCTTGAGTCCCTCCAGAGTCCCTCTGTCCCCAGTCTGGGTCATGCATTTAGAGTAGAACAGTAACAGTTACCTACTCTATAATAGACAGATACCAGTCGCAGAAGGAAGCATGAAGAATGACCTTGTGACTGTTCCTAAGCCTGGTCATATGTGAGCTGGTCCCAGAGCTGGGATCCACAGTTTGGGGGGGTTGGCCACACCCCTGGGCTTTGCATCAGGCCCACTCAAGACCTGATCTGCACCAAAGCAAGCCTTGAACAGATCTGGGTTCACATTTCAGCCTGCCACGCCAAGTTGTATGACCTTTCATAGAAGGCTTGGACTCTCTGAGTCTCCTTTGCTTTATGTGCAATGTGAGGCAGATGAGTGGCTCTGAGGTATCAATCAGAACAGAGTCCTAGGGGCCTTGCACAGTGCCTCACTTCCTTTCCCTTTCCATCCCCTCAGGCCCTTGGGAACCAGGGATGGCACTGGCCCTGAGCTTGCCTCTGGCTCTTGTGCACAGATGGTTGAGAATCCCAGCCCAGACACACCGAGCCATCCTTAAAGAGATGCCTAAAAACGTTTAGGACCAGCCGGGCTCGGTGGCTCAGCCTGTAATCCCGTGCCTTGGGAGGCTGAGGGGAG